TTTACTGATGTTTTTAATTTAACCTTTAAATTTTGACTTTATAAAGAAAAATATTTTTTTACTAATTTAATTTTTAGGAACTCATTAAATTTTTTCCTTTTTGAATTTAATTTTCTATTAATTATTAGATGTTATTGTTTTAAAAAGAAACATGTTTTTTTAATAATCATTTATTTTTTTTTTTAATTTTTAGTTTAAGTGTTTGAAATTTACTGATATTTTTTAATTTTCGAAAAGTTGTTTATTCTCTTACTTCCGTGTTTAGTTTATTTTTTAGATTTTGGTGTTTTAAAAGACACACATTTTTTAATTTCATTTAATTTTTAGAAAACTTATTGCTGAAAGAAAAACAGAAAAACGTTAGACGTCCTCGTTAGCAGATATTTAAATTATTAGTCATTCGAAAGACTGAAAAGAGCTTTCTAGAGCGACTTTTGGCCTTCGAAAGACGGCGGTGAATTGAAAGCCAGTTGCCAGAATTGTCCTGTAAGTATGCCGTAATGGGTGTGTCAGCGCATTTGAAAGTGCAAGTAAATTGCAGCAATCGACGAAGCTCACTATCTTATTACGCCGAGTTGTGGAAAGTTTTCCACTTCCCAAGGCAAGATTTAGAACGGTCACAAACACCAATCTACATATTTTATGGGTATGGAATGAATGCAAGAATGCCTGTAGGAAAACTGAACTGAAACTGAATTTCAAAAGTATCTACGCCGTTACTTGAATTTTTGAGTACTGTAATTCCTATCGTGCTAGATAAAGCCAAGGCTCCAAATACAATAAATCTTTGGCGGTTTGAAACTAAGGAATTTCCTTGCATGTATGTAAACTTTATAAAAAAAAACATAATGCATAAAAGGCGCTAAGCGCAACGCGCGCAATGCTTCTTTGCTATCAGCGTGTTGGTGATAGCGACAATCAAACGTAGAGTGGCGCGACGATTTCAAAATAGCCAATGCAGATACAACACAAAGTTGCTTGCAAGCAGCAAGCATACATACATATGTATGTATGTATATATTTACAATAAAATAAATAAGAAAAAATTGCAGGATAGTGTTAATTATTCATCGCATAGCAGTTGTCATCCGGTGCCGTTGCTTATTTCATATATTGTTTTTTTTTTTTTAGGTGAGGTTAAGAGTTATTATGCCGCCAAAAGTAGCTGCGATATTTACTAAGCAATAAAAAATAATAATAACACATAAAAACCTATATGCAAGCATTAAATAAACGCCAATTTTTGAGAATGTTGAAAAAGGTCAACCGACGCTGGCGTTCAATGCACTCATGGGCCGATTCATTCACATCGTAAATTATTATTACTAAAGAATTTTAAATCAAAAGGTGCGCATACAAACAGAAAGTTATGTATTTATTTGTGTAAGTATGCAAACAAATAAATAATATGCGTATAGATATACTTTAAAAAGGCTAAGTGAAATTGGTTTTGCAATGATTCAATTGCACCGCAACTTAACTTTACACATTTTGGTATTTACTTAGTAGTGAAAGAGGTCAAAGAATTTTAAGGAAAATTACTTCTAAAAGGCAAAGAGTCAACACTTCTGACGCATCTTGGAAGAGCTAGAGGTTCTCGAACTGACCTGTCCTCAAGCACATTACATTATAGCGTAATTTTGCATCTGCTTGTATTTCCTGCATGCGTTCCTAAAAGCATAAACAGACGGCAGCGTTGATCCGTATCAACTCGGGAATTAACTGCAGTTGATCCGGATTAAGTCCGAGTTAGCTGCTTTTGTTTCCTTCGTTATTATGATTTTTGTGGACCAGACTTAAAAAGGATATGCAAGAAGAAAGCATATACATACAACAACTTTCGAGTCTCGTTCTCATGTTTTGTTTTTGATATTATATTCTTTTGAATCGATTGAATTTAAGCACATTGAGATATTTATTTTTATCAAAAATTGCAAATAATACTAATTTTTTCCACAGGGATATACTTTGGATCCTTGGCTACAAAACTTCGGTTATAAAACTGTGCCCTTACGTGCCTCTTTTTGGCGCTGTAGCCACCCCCAATCAAGTCGTTTCTCTTCTGTGCCAACTGAAGTCGATTAAGAATAACAATTGAGGTCGGCTCCTCCTGCACTTAGTCTCCCCATCGTAGAGGACGCCCTTTTCTTCCTCTGCTATCAGTGGTATCCACTATTCACTACTATTTAATACAAATGCATATACAGTGGCGGCGGCAGAAATAATAGACTCGTCGTACTTTGAAGAGTTTTGGCTATATTTCTTTAGTTTATTTTATGTTTAAAAAGGGGATTTATATGGTGTTTGTTGTATAACTAGCCAGGCTTTTATAAAAAAGAAAAATATTTAGCATAATATAAACCAAAGAAATAGAGCCAAAACTCTGCGAAGTAAGGCGAGTCTATTATTTCTGCCGCCTCTGTATATGCGTATGTTTTAGTGGAATGACTTAAAAGACTATAAAAACTTTCTTTGAACCAAAACGGTCAATTATTATTCGAACTATGAAGCCTTTAGCTCGCAGTTGAAAGCTTCATTTGCAGTATATGTACATATATATTTTTTGCCATTTTCTTTTTTGCCCCTTACGTTTAATAGTTGCCTAAAAACACTTAAAAAATGAGGTGTGAAACTTCCTGAAACACAATCAAAAAATATAGAAAAACTCGCATTTTGCATACATACAAAATAAATGCATTTTTTATTATTTGCCAACGAATACGCGACAATCCATAATTGGACACTGCCCACCTGTGACGACGCGAACTGTTGTGTTGCACTAAAAGTGGAAAGGAGTAAAGTGCAATCAGGATGATAATGTTGCAAAAAAAAAATGAAACCATAAACAGAGAAAAGTATATATTTTTACAACTGGCAATGCTGCTAGCCATATAGCCTGTAGCCGTAAAAATCATACGTATGTATGTATGTATATATAAAAATTGACAATTTAAACAGGCAGTAACTGCATCAGTACAAATTTAAGGGGCCATTATTTTAGTAAATCAAAAAGGTTTGGCATTAAGCACTTAATAAACAACAAACAATATTCGTAAGTACTCATAATCAATTCATATTGCACTTTCTACGAAAAGGAAAAGTTTATACATATATGTATAAATTTTGCAGCTTGATTTAGCATGTAGGTGGAGTAATAATAATACTATGTACATACATACGTAGTTGTGAAATTGTGTGGGTCGCGCGGTGAAACTTCAGAAATTCAGTGACACACGTCAGCAGTGAAATAAAAGAAAATATTACATGACACATACATATTTAATCGCCGTCTGCAAATAAGAGAAACTAAAGGCTGTCTATCAGCTCCTCGTTTAGATCTATCATTTACTCAATTTTCCTAACGACCAGACCAGAGCTTCAATGCCTTCTGATCCAGCTTTCCATGGAAGGCGAAAAATTACACGAGATAATAGTGACGCAGTACGAATTTCTCGTGACTCGTAGACACTCACCGAGAAGTATGTTGTCATCTGCATTCGAATGGCTGGGTTATTCGAACATATTACAATTCGGTTGCCAAAGAGAACATCTTATTGAAACAGACATGGCTACGAGTATTTATGTATTTTGAAGTTTTCATCACTTGGTCGACTGTTATGCCATTAAATGCGAGTTTAAATACGCTTAGGTCTTTTCAAATGATCGATTCGACATAGAACCTTTAAGCTACAGTTAAAAATCGATTGCAATCGCGAATCCGCAGTTCCAGTAAGTCGTGGAATGTGGCCAAAATCGATCGATTTGGCGATGATGCTGATGACCCATCCGTGCAATAAAGCTTATCAGAACAAGATATATGTATGACACTCACAGTTTTTACTATTTATTTTATCATTTTTTAAACTTAATTATTCTTTTATAACAACAACCGTATAAATCCAATTTTCAATCAACAAATCTTCGTAAACTTTCGAGCTTTTAAAATAAATTTCTTTTAAATATGTGGAGTATGTAGTTTTAAGTAGGTGGGACTTCCCGTTAATTTTTGGCAATTATTTTTTTTTTTCTTTGTTGACGATGTTAGTCATTTAGTCATTTTCTTCCTATTAAGTATGTTCGACGATTTTTTTTTTAATATGGAGAAAATGAGCAACACCTTAAAAAAAAATTAAAATAAACTCTGCAAACCATTTTTTCAGACTATTCTGAATCGAAGAGAAATTTAAAAGAATTCGTAAAGATCTCATCCGATTTTTGCCGAGATTTCTAAAATGAAATAAACTGTACACACTGCGATTCTTTTACGAAATTTCGGATGCTGCTATGTGAAGAATCTTTTCAAAATTTTCTTTATTTTTCGTACAGAAACTTCTTTGCGAGTTCGTGTCAACCACTTCATATAAGTTTCTTTGAAGATTCGTAAAAAAATCTTGAAAGAAATGAGATACTCCTAAAGATTTCGTTAAAATTTCGGGAACTTTGGTTTGCAGGGAAATACCAAAAATCAACAGTAAGCCGCAGCAACTTTAAACATGCACTTTATACTACTAAAATTGAATTTAAAAGAAATTTATTTAAAAAGCTCGAAATTTTTTAATTTTTTTTACTATTACATAAAGATTGAAACTTGGATTTATACGGTTTTTGTTAAAGAATAAGTTATGTTTTCATAAAAAATAAAATAATTAAATCTAAGAAATAATAAAATAAATAGTCAAAACTTGTCTGATAAGCACTATATGTGTATGTAGTACTTACTCCTAAGGCCGGTTGTTGACAACAAAATTTGTCGACATATTTTGACAGAGGTTTTCTATATTTCACCTATGCCGTTATCGAAAATATTATGGTTCCAAAACTGACAGATAGCCAATACAGCAGCACATATCTACTACTGAGACCCTATTCTGATCTAAATCTGTTTTTTTTTTGCGCATTTTGACAATTAATCAACGACGAATGTCATTGAGTTTTACATAGACTTCTCACGATTTCTTATTGTAATCACTTACGAATTTGTATTTTTCTTAGAAGTACTGAAATGTTGAGGGTACTTACCTAAAAATAGAAAAAAGAAAGAAAAATTGTTAGAATATAATATGTAATTATAAAAAGTTTAATACTGCATAAATAAATTAAGTACACTAAAACACATTTGAAATTGGTTTCGCGAGACATATTGGTGGTGTTGTCCCATGGATCATTAAAATGCCACCTGCACTGCTTGCAAGACATGAAACCCATTTCAAGCCAGTATTTAAGCGCTATCGTCGTAACTTGATTAAACACCTAAAATTTTTAATTTATTTTTAACAAATTTTTTTTCCATACACAACTGACCTAATTTGTATGCACAACTATTTTTGCAAAAAATAAAAAGAAAAATAACAGTAAAAAAAAACCCTTCATTTGTACCGCCAAAAGTAGGAAATCAGTGTTAAGCAACCTTCCCCTTTATTCCCAAATGAGCATTGATGGAATTCCACAGAGTTTTGCTTTATTAAATTTAAGACCTAATTTAAATAACGCGCATTCTTTGCAATTCCAAAAGGGTATAGTATTTATGTCAATGACAGCTGCCACACGCAACATTTGCAACATCATTCATACATTTATTTTATGCAATTGGCATTGCTCTATACAACAAAGAGGCAATGCAAGGCATTTTTGGTCAGCACTTCTGATTGTATGTAGTTGCCGCGTTGCATTGCATTAATATGCATGAGCAGTACCAAGTGAATGAGGCAAAGGATAAATTAAATTAAAGAAGTTGACAATTTGTATGTTAAAAGTAGCGCATAAACTTGCAAAGAAATTAATATAATAAAATACTTAAAAAAGTGAATTATGCAAATGTTGGGAGAGCATTTATTTTAAGGTATGCAGCTGGTGGAGAGTTTATGAATGTACCCGTATTTAAAAATCACTACGCATGTGCTGAATATGCCTTTAGCATGGTAAAGATTTGAGAAAAAAAAAAGAGACTTTACAAAGGTCGATAAAATTGGATTGAAATGAAACGGTATTGTGTGGTAGGCCGGAAACCCTAAGATCGATTTTCCAACAACTCAGGCATAGTGGCGTATTGTACTTAAGGCCTGGAGGGATAAAAGGGGACCAGAAAATAGGTGATCTTGGGCAAGATTACCATTTTGCAAACGTACCAGACTCTGAGGCTCAGTTTCAGCCTGTCGAAGACCGGACAGCTGTAGAGAAAATGTTTTATACCATCCCCGTCCGACATTGAACGCCGACAGGGCTTTTGGGACTTATCCTGGACTCCAAGCTTATGTGGAGGGCTCAGGATTAAAAAATATAGCAAGGCGAGCTCACTACAGGGGTATACTGACGACTTTAGAACACCTGAGGGGATTGAAGCGGGCGTTTATGGCCCCAGACTGAAGCTTTCGGTGCCCCTGGGAATCTTTCATAGCGTCTTTCAAGCGCAGGTCTAAGCGATCAATCTGTGTGCTGAGATAAACATTTGAATTAATTAACGAAGCGAGAGGCTACTAATTGCGAGCGATAGTCCTTTCCTTTACTTTTCAGAAACTTATTTTTTACTTTTTTTTTAATTTAATTTGTTATTCTTTTGTTAATTCTATTTGGTTTTAATTACTTAGATTTTATTGTTTTAAAAGTAATGCCAAGACCTTCTCGTTACCAAATCATTTTGATTTTTAAGATTTTTTTTAGGCCGGGTGTATATTTTATATGAAAGAAGATACGCAACACCCGACTTTAACTGTTTACTTTTTCATACCAAAATTTAATGGGCTACAAAACTACTTACTCACCATTTTTCTAAGAAAACGAATCAAAATATTTTGAATTTCGATGAAAATTTCTTCAGTTTTACCGATTTTTTTTATGATATTAAAAAAATTATTCTTGCATTTTTTCTGTTGAATGAACTATACTTTTATAAAACAAAGAAAAATTTGGTATAGAAAATAGACGTTAATAAAATCATCAAAACATCGGCGTTTACGTATTTTTAATTCGAACTGCATGATATTATTGTTGAATTGATTTAATCGAGGTTTTGAGAAATACTACTACTTTGGCAGTCTTTGACCAGGAATCGAACTGATTCTTTTTTTTTTTGTTTGTTTGAGAATTAATCACTCGACTCAAGTAAATGAAGAATTGATATTAAAAACAACTATCGTTAGATTTATTTATTTTTTTAACTTATTTAATTGCTAATTTAAGGTTTTTGATTTTTATTTTTCGCGTCATTTTTTATTTGATTTTGTTAATAATCCTAAAGCAGAATCCGATTAGTATAGCTACCTATTTCAGACGACTTATATATTTGTGACTAAAATCTACCCAAAAATACATTATTTCTCATTCATTTGTTAAGAAATAAACAATACCGATAACCGTCTGCATTGCAATAAGTGTCATCATCCTCCGTGCAGCGAGGTGAATCGGCATTCAAATCTAAAACTTCCAAACTGCTTTTGCTTGTATAACAAATACAATGCATGCCGCAAATTGTAAACTTTATGACTGACTACTCAGCTGGCGGTCAGTAGTTGAGGAAAGTAAAAGATTATTACCGCGAGTACAAAAAAAAAAAAGAGTAGTAAATTTATTTATGTAGCATGGTAAGTAAATAAATTTCATCAAAAGCGCCAGGGAGCCACTGAATGAATTTGAATGCATGTGGTATTAAGTACGTAAGTGTTCATTGTGGTCATTTGTGAGCCGGCAGCAAAGAAAAGCGACATGTTGTAACAAATTAAGTTGACATTGATGCTGACTACATTGGCAATAAGGAAGTTGTAGTTGCTATAAATTTAATAGCAAAACAAATATTGAACTTGTAGACAGTAAAGTGCGTCGATTTGTGGACTTACAACAAATGTCGACTTGATACGGGATAGCAAACAAATTTTGGGGGTGGCAGGTGGGAAAATCAAGTTGCATAGCCACAGAAATTTTCGAAAATTTATTTGTTTAAGAAATAGTAAATAGTATATTGTTGTTATGGTGACTACTTAGGATAGGTGATACCACCTTAGCGAGCTCTTTATTCCGTCCCTCAGTTCGCCGTGAGGTAGTCACTGTTTTACCATAACCCAGCGTTGAAAGTCGCAGATGTCCACAGAGCGAGATCAGTATTTAATAAAAAATAATAAAACGTGACCTAGCCAGAGTTCGTTTAAAATCCTCCTACATTCGACAGCCACTTTCATGGAAGTGTTGCTGCCCTGTAGAGATTAAATCGCTGCTTGGCTGTCAGAATAGATGGTAACGGAATTGTTTAAAAGTTTCGAAGTTTTGACCAATCCGTAAAGATGGCGGTAGAACCTGGATCTTAGTCTGCGCGGCTTACCCAGTCGCTTCTGTTTGGAATTCTGTAGGCAGAACTATTGTCGAAGCAAAAATTGGGTTGGTGTAATCCTGGCTATGTAGGGTTACTGGAATGGTGTCCAGAATTTTTTAGTGACCGAATCTAAGAGCACTCCATGTGTGAGTCGCATTCAATCTGGTCCTGAAATCTCTACAGACCTTTCAGACACACTTTTCTTTTGCCTTGACCCCGACGAAACGGCACGTTTCCCGAGCAAATCGTTAAGTTGAACTTAACGGTAGCTCTTGATAAGACTAGCTAAACTAGGGCTGGGCTTACTAGTGCCGCTACAACAACAACAACGAAAACTTCGGGGCCAAGAATGCACTTTTGAGAAATCAAAATTTACAGCCATGATGTATAACTACGGTGACCATCCGTCCTTTATTTTAAAGGACAGCGCTTTATTTTAACCCCCAGTCCTTTATAATTGGTTTCAAAATAAAGGACGCCTTTTGTCTTTTATTTCTTAAACTGTCCTTTAAATCGGCTCTGAATTTTTCAATGGTGAATTTTTAAACTCAGAATATGAAAAATAAAAATATCCCGTATAAAATATAATGAAAACTTTCGCCAGTTTGTTTCGCACACCACTTAAGGGTTTCTAGTTAGTCGGTAATCTTTGTACAATCTATAAAGCACATGGAAAGTTGTGCCCAGGACCGTGTTGCACGTAAGCCCCCTGCTGCACAGTGGTTCAAAACTGGCATTCATTCACTTCATTTTTCACTTAATTTGATTAATATTTATTTTTTTTTATAATTTTGATTTCTGAATTTTAATTTGATTATATTAAATTTTTTAAACAAAAATACAGAAAAAGTAGCAATTGTGAAGAAAATGTATTCTCCTGTTCCAGTTAATAAATGTTACATAACAAAAACTGGTTGAAAACAATTGTATGGTTCTCCCAAACAAAAAAATACACAAACAAAAAATTTTGAAATGTTATAAAAAAAATGCTCACCAAATAAATATTTTGTTTTTTTTTGGTTTTTAGTAAAAATTGCCTGAAAAATGAAGGCGCCGGTGGATGATGGGCATTGAATTCCATTTTTGAACCACTGTGTCCTGGCTTCGTCGTGCAGTATGAATTATGGTGGCGAAGTCCTTGAAAGGGATTTGGCTTCATTTTTCGCTACAGCAGGGGAACTTATACAATTAAATAATTCATTAACTGGTAAATATTTGATATAAATTACGATATGGGCAAGATACTTTTATCATACAACTTGTATGTGCGTATTCCCAAATCATTTTGAAAAAAAATGTCCTTTATTTTACGTTGGTTAATATGGTCACCGGATGTATGTATAACACAAAATATAGTACATACATAGTATGTACATATGTATGTACCCTTGTGGTCAGCTGATTAAGTTAAGTGACATTTGTTGAGTGTTTTCTCCCTTATAAAGTATGCTCGACGATTACATACTTTTATATGGTGAAAAATTTCTAGCACCGTCAGCAAAAAAAAATACTAAAAAAACGAAGCGATTTTCTAGCGTTTTACTATTTGTTTTTTAGCCTACTAAAATTTACTTTAAAATTGCATACCTTAAATTTTTCTAAAAATTTTTAATACGTTCAAAATTTGTAGGTGTAATTTTGTTAGTTTGTTGAATTTTTATAATTTTCGTACGAAGTTTGAAAAGTGGATTTATGATTAGATACATAATGTGCCAGACAT